CAGAGAGAGAGGGAGTAACAGGCTGAAACAGGCTCCAGGCTCTGAGCTTGCAGTCAGCACAGAGCCCGACGCGGGGCTCGAACCCACGAACCGCGAGATCATGACCTAAGCGAAAGTCGGACGCTTAACCGACTAAGCCACCCAGGCGCCCCTGATGGCCTAACTTTTATTGTTGAAGGTTGTGCAAGGTCTCTGGGGAAATCACTGGCAGTCAAGGGAGTCCTAGCTAAGGTAAAGGTCAAGGCTTTCTCCTTGAGTGACAGCATTTTATCTGGCAGATAATATAGGACTGTGGCCAAGCTAAAACAATGAAAAGCAATGGGTAAAATTCCTTTCCTGTGTGACTAGGTAACTCAATGGAGTGACATCGGCAGCCCTCACATCCCATTTATTAAAGAAACAGTAAGAAAAGATACAATGCAGGAAAAACACCAACCATCCTTTCACCTCAGGCTGAACGAAGCACAGTGATTTCTCCCCTTCACCCCCCCACCCCCTACCCCAGTTCCCATATTCCCACTGACGTCAGTTTAAATTTTGAGGTTCTTTGATCGGGGGTACTAGTGGAGAGGGAATTAGGTGAGCGGTGGGGCCTTGATTCTGGCCTCCTCTGAGTCCCAAGAGAAGGAAGTTGTAGGCCCAGTTAATCAAGCTGAAATTGTATTTGGTGGGTCTTTGAAGAGGTTGCCCACCTCCCTGTTCTGTGTTCAAGCCCTCAGGGAAAGGTATGGCAGTAGAGGATGACCAGGTCCAAGCTGCCCAGGGCAGAGCTCCTGAAGCATGGTCCGTTCACCAATGCAACAGTTCTAGAGAGCAGTGAGCTGATTCTCCAGTGGTGAGCAGAGGACTACACATGAGTTGGGACCTACAGGCCAACGTATCCCTGAGGAAAAGTCCACAAGAACAACTCAAGAAACTAGTAAGAAACAAGGGGCAGAGAGCTGTGGGACAAAAGCACAGCAGGCTTCTGGAGGGCTGGAGATCCTTTCTCTCAAGGTCAGGATCATTCCCACCTGCCGTAGTCCATCTCTCACAAGTAACATTTCACCTTCAGTCAAGAAAGAAGCAGAGGGGGAAAAAGGCTCATTTGAACTTGAGCCCCAGCTACGTACTTCAGACTGTAGCTCCATTATCTACCCTTTTACCTAAAACACAGCTCCTTCTCAGAACCACAGTGCTTGGAAAAAGGAGTGGTCCTGGAGAGAAAAGGTGTTTAAGGGGGTAACATTCCATTTGGGTACATTGCAGCCATAGGACCCCCTGGTCTGGGGAAAGCAGCTGGGTTTGTGCCAGGGAGGTTCCCCACTCTAGGAAATGGGACCAAAGTCTTGCTTACAGGGCCATTCATCCTTGGAAAGGAAGCTGGGTTTAGACCCAGGGTCCCACTTGGCCTTGCAAAAGGTGCTGGGTTGATACCCACAGGGCCTGATGGAGAAGAGCCAAGGGGCCCAGGAGCTGACCTGGGGAAAGTAACCTGACCAGGGCCTAATGGGCCAGTAGACCTTGGGAAGGCAGCAGGACTTGGACCCTGCAAGCCACTGGCCCTTGGGAAGTTAGCTGGGTTGGGACCTAGTGGCCCAGAGGTTCTTGGGAAAATTGCTGGACTTGAGCCCTGGAGACCAGCAGACCTCTGGAAGGTAGCTGGATTTGAAGCCAATGTGCCAGAAGTCTGAGAAAAGGCAGCTGGATTCAGTCCCCCTGAACCAGTCCCCCTTGGAAAGGGATTGGCATTTACCCCCATGGGCCCAGCCGGCCTTGAAAAATGAGCTGAATTAGGGCCTATGGGGCCAGGAGCTCTGGACATGGGAGATGGATTTGGCCCTGGAAGGCCAATTCCCCGAGAGCCAGGACCCGAGTTTGGGCCTATGGGGCCAGGTACTCTTGCCATAGAGGATGGGCTTGTGCCCATGTTTCCAGAAGCCTGTGAGAAAGCAGCTGAATTTGCTCCCAAGAGACCTGCTGCTCTTAGAATGGGGGCAAGATCTAGGCCTTGAGGTCCAGCCATCCTTAAATTAAGACCAGATCCTGTGCCCAGGAGGCCACCTGCTCTGGTGTCCAGATTTGGGCCTGGTCCCAGGCCACCTGCCCTAGGGTTGGGCCCAAGGCCTGGGCCCAGGCTATTTGCTCTTGGGTTGGGCCCAAGGCCGGGGCCTGGAAACAAACCTGATCTTGGGGCAGGGTTTGCACCACTGAAGCCTGATCTCAGATTGGGACTTGGTCCTGGTCCCAGGCCAACGGGCCTAGGATTAGGAGGACCGTTCCCAGAAGGCAACAGGACCCCTGCTCTCAGGCTGGGCCCAGATCCAGGGCCCAATGGGCCGCCACTTCTGGGGTCAGGACCTGTTCCCAGGAGACCACCTGCCCTTGGGTTGGGCATTGGACCTGGCCCAGGGAGACCCCCTAACCTTGGATTAGACAGAGGCCCTGGGCCTGGAAGAGTCCCTGCCCTCGGGTTTAGAGATGGGCCTGGGCCTGGGCCCGGACCTGGGCCCAAGAGACCACCAGGCCTTGGGAAAGAAACTGCACCTGTGCCAGTGGGATTTATCCCTCTTGGAAAAGAAGCCATGCCTGGGTCACGAGCACCAGCAGGGAAAGGTGCTGGATTTGAAGCCAATGAGCCTGATGAAGTTGGAAAAGGTGATGGGTTCCTTGGAAATGGGGCCAGATTTCCACCAAGAGAACCAGTTGCCATAAGGAAGGGATCAGAGTTCATGCCCAGCGGGTGGCCTGTGTTTAGAACAGGACCCCCCTGTGGTCCCAAGGAACCGTCGAGCCGTCCTCGAGGTGGCAACTGAGCACGAGTCCAAGGAGTTGGTCGCTCTCTAGGGAAAATCCGGGGTTCTTTCATACTTTCTTGGGGACGTTGGTGATAATGGGCTTGGGACGAGTTTTGAAAAGGATCTTGTTTTTGATGAGTGCTGTCACCAGGTACCGGGTGCCAGTCTTGCAGCCAAGCTCATCACAGTCCTGCTCCCCAGGAGTGTGTTTGACAAGGACGGCAAAAGGTTTCTCCAGATGGATGATTTTTCCATACAGGATATGATGCCCCACGATCAGCACAGGGATTCCCTTTAGCAGAACAAGAATGAAATGCCTAAGATTCAGGGTAAGGTCATAACACTAAGGTGCCTTCTACGGATGCTCTTGGCAGGCAACGCTGGGACCTCCACTCCCTGGTTTGGCTCTAACAATGCTGAAGAGCCATACCAGGGAACCACCCTCATGCCCTTTTTACTCTTTCTAACCCCAGGTAAGAGAATTTCCACTTTTTAGAACTGTGACTTTTCCAGATTGCCCAAAGCTAAATTTCCCTGCTATTGCAGGGATTGGGGGAGAACAAGCAGATAGATTAGATTAGCTAGACCTCGAATAACAAACCTGAGGGCAGTCCTCACTCTGGGTCCTGGGAGCACCACCTTGGTGTAGCTTGCTTTCCTGAGGCATTAGGCAGGGAAAGAAAAGTCCCCTCACCTCAGTGGTGTAATGTAGGTCTCCCAGGAGGTTTCCAGCTAATCCAGTGCTGTAGCGAGCCTCGATCTCCCCCTGTAGCTCCATCAGCACCCATTCTGCCAGGCCTCCAGCCCCAGCACTGCAAGCAAAGGGCTGGCGGTTACAATATTTTTGAGGGGTGAAGGATGAATAGTGTCCTACACCACCATTCAAGGCCCAAAGGAACTCTTTGTTGAGCATAAGTTCTTGGAAAAATTAGGCAGTGCCGGGCACTGAACTAGAGAATGAAATGTAAGAATGT